ATGTTTTTATTTATGAGTGTCAAAATTTTTGAATCGGCAGAAAGAATTCTAAAGAAACATTTTCCTGAGCATCGTATACTATTCTATTGGAATTTTAATGTTAACAATAAGTTGAATCAAAATTTTTCATACGAATGGAAAGCGTTCAAGTTGTTCAAAACTCATCAAATATTCAACCAAAAATTGTATAAAAACTGGGATATCTTTTACTACCCCCCCCTTTGGTACCTAGTAACAAAATGCCACCCCTTTATTGAAATAGTTCAATGTTTTAACATATGCAATTTTGTACGTAGTAACGAATCTCCATCTTTAGCAAAAGGGGGAAATAGTTGAAGAGATCCAAAAAGTGTTTTAGAAAAGAAAAACCTACTTGAGTTTATTTGGTTCTTCATAAATCAGATGAACCTCAACATGATCCAACTGAATATTATGACACAACGGGATCAGTTGCGACGTCATTTTAGCCCCCATAACCCCAGCAAGTTTGACTGTACTCTCAAAGTCACCTTTCTTCACCGAATTGTCTTTAACCAATTTGAAAACCTCATTCGAAAGCAGCACTTCGCTTTCAGAAACAGCACTTCTTTTCACCGCTTTCTTTGAACCAATATTGACAAAATTAACATTGCCTCTTTCGTCCAAATGAGTTAAAAATTTGTGCTCTTCTAGTTTAGGTTTCCAGGCTGCATTTGAGGTAGATTTGATAGTTTGGGTAGCTAAACTGCAAAAAGCACACCTTTTGAAAAAGAATCCCGCAACATTTCGAGTTTGTAGCAACAAATTTAAAGACATATCATGTCTAGAATAAACAGAAAATTCATAAGGCATCGCATCAAGAAGCGAAATATTCGGAAGTAGTAAAAATCGGCTTGCTGCTTTAGATTACAATTTCAGAAACCATTAGTCGCTTGGAAAACAGCAACAGAACATATACCGGGACCGCTTGACTAGCATAAATGTATAAAAACATGAAAATGTATCAAACTAGCTTACTTTTGATAGCTTCATTTCTCAGAAATTCAATACAACAATCATAATCCGTTCATACTAAAACATGCGTTTTTACAAAATAGAAAATTGAGCAATTGAAAAATTACGGAATCAACAAGCCAATAAAACTCCTAAAACAAAAATAGTGATCAGGCACACCCCGACCTGTAAGGAATCAAACCGAACAATGATCATCGCATTAAACGTTGATTGTTAAAAAAACTGTGATTGGATTATTCGTATTTATAATACTCACTCCTAAAAATATACAGTTGTTAATATCAAGTTATTGTTAAATGCTATTCAAAATGTGACAATCAACAATTAATTTCTGAAATTTCGAGCAATGGGATTGTGAACAAGATCCCTTTGATCTGTAGAACTTATTTGGTAGATAATAGTTTAATTTTGACCAAAAGGGAATTTTTGTTTCATTTTCAATGATAGTCGATACGATTTTCAACTTAAGAACTTTTATGCTAGTCGAACTTCATGCTAGTCGATAAATCACCCACATAGCGTAAATTGAATTATTTGCAAAAGAACTGGCATGGCAATTAAAAACCTTTTTTTTAAATCTTTAAAAACGCGAGACTAGGTGATTAGCATCACAACAGAAGGCACTTAGCATAAAGATAGTCTTTCACTTAAAATCGTCAGAATGTGCTAAAATCATCAGAATGTGCGTTCGATCTGCTGCCATAGCAATGATATTTTGCGAGGACGAGCTCCCAGTCGACGTTTAGCTCCAGGTCTACCACAGCCTGATTAATTTCGGCTGCAATGTGAAATTCGGCTGCAAACGTGAATGTTCTGGACGCAAAAAAGCGGTATTCAGTCGCATGGAAAGAACTTCGCTCAACAAAAATAGCGCAGTCTGGAATGTCAAGTCACGGAAAAATAAACTATACTTATTCAGGCTACACACACTGCATAGCTTTCAATAGTTCATCTAAGATTCGCAGAAACATAAAATAGTTATTAGTTTAGACTCTAATTGATGTTTAGGAATGCTAAGAAAAAAAAACATTGTCGGAGGGGTTTTTCTAGTGTATGATTTATGCATTTCAAAGATGGGCTGATATAACTAGCGGATGGCTTTCCTATGTGGTGTATCTCCATGACTAACGCTTATTACCGCCCAACTTGCCTAATTTTGGAAAAGTGATACTTTGCAGATGAAACATTAGCGTTTTTAGGTGCTTGCTGAGTTAAAAATTCGGCCTGAAGTCCCATCGGCTTGATTCAGCAAGTTGTCCTAGATCCCCCGATCCAAATTAGGCTTCAGCTCGTATAAACACCGCCAACTGACAGCTGAAAAAAAGTAAGAAAACAAAGAAAAAGTTTCGAATTTTACAGAAAAAAAATTATGCCCTTAAAGCTCTTTGAATTTCAAGAACAATTTATGATCGGTGCTTTTTTTGGTACAATTAACCCAACTTGAGAAAACTGGATTAAAAGTTAAATTTTTAAAACCGCTGGTAAATCTGATAATTAAGCTCCACTTTCGAAACTAGAAGTCGATCACGTTTTTCGAGACCTTTACACTTTTGCTCTTCGATAGTGGAGTTTGCATTCCTTTTAACAAAGAAATGAACTGAGCTTAACAAGAAATCATAAATGAAACTGCGAAAATTCAAAACTAAGCGTTAACAAATTTTAGTACTTTTTCCTGAAAAAACCAAGATTACCACAGAAGTACTCACTGCGTTCAATCCTCTTAATCGGAGCATCAGTCTTTCATTTCAAGTCACATCTCTTTACGAATATGAACTATAGTAACCGAGGTAAAAAATCGGCGAAAATAGATAGGATCAACCGTAGATGAGCCTAGGGCTACTAGATTGTACAAATGCTCCAATAGATAAGTCAAACCTGAGAGAAGTTTGAAAAAAAGGGGTCAAAAACACAAAAACAAAGCCGTAATTTCATCTTTCCGATATTTGGAGATCTTACAAGGCACAAAATATATCCTGGATCTGCACGTCATTTTTTGTTGGTTTGCCATCTAGTAAGCCCAGCCTTTTTACATTCATGATTTTTGCATCTACGTCACACCGCAAAAATCAAAAGATTTTATGTTCTTTTCCTCTCAAATGAACAATAACTTGTTCCTTGATGATTTCTTTCAAGCGTGGTAACGATTGATTCATAAAAAAATCAAATCTTTTGTTCAATTTTTTCTTCAATTGTGCTATATTTTTTTACTATCGTTTTTAGTACTATCCTTTACTTAAATTTTCACCGCCCAACTTGCCTAATTTTGGAAAAGTGAAACTTTGCAGATGAAACATTAGCGTTTTTAGGTGCTTGCTGAGTTAAAAATTCGGCCTGAAGTCCCATCGGCTTGATTCAGCATGTTGTCCTAGATCCCCTGATCCAAATTAGGCTTCAGCTCGTATAAACACAGCCAACTGACAGCTGAAAAAAAAGTAAGGAACAGAAAGAAAAAGTTTCGAATTTTACAGAAAAAAAAATGCCCTTAAAGCTCTTTGAATTTCAAGAACAATTTATGATCGGTGCTTTTTTTTTGGTACAATTAACCCAACTTGAGAAAACTGGATTAAAAGTTAAATTTTTAAAACCGCTGGTAAATCTGATAACTAAGCGCCACTTTCGAAACTAGAAGTCGATCACGTTTTTCGAGACCTTTACACTTTTGCTGTTCGATAGTGGAGTTTGCATTCCTTTTAACAAAGAAACGAACTGAGCTAGAAAAGAAATCATAAGTGAAACCGCGAAAATTCGAAACTAAGCGTTAACAAATTTTAGGACTTTTTCCTGAAAAAAACCAAGATTCCCACAGAAGTACTCACTGCGTTCAATCCTCTTAATCGGAGCATCAGTCTTTCATTTCAAGTCACATCTCTTTACGAATATGAACTATATTAACCGAGGTAAAATATCGGCGAAAATAGATAGGATCAACCGTAGATGAGCCTAGGGCTACTAGATTGTAGAAACGCTCCAATAGATAAGTCAAACCTGAGAGAAGTTTGAAAAAAAAGGGGTCAAAAACACAAATACAAAGCCGTAATTTCATCTTTCCGATATTTGGAGATCTTATAAGGCACAAAATATATCCTGGATCTGCACTTCATTTTTTGTTGGTTTGCCATCTAGTAAGCCCAGCCTTTTTACATTTATGATATTTGCATCTACGTCACACCGCAAAAATCAAAAGATTTTATGTTCTTTTCCTCTCAAATGAACAATAACTTGTTCCTTGATGATTTCTTTCAAGCGTGGTATCGATTGATTCATAAAAAAATCAAATCTATTATTCAAATTTTTCTTCAATTGTGCTATATTTTTTTACTATCGTTTTTAGTACTATCCTTTACTTAAATTTTAAAATAATTTTATGATTCTAAATATGGAAAAATATATATCAATTGATGGTTTTATGTCCATTTCCAGCAGAAGATAATTTCAACGTAAATATCTGCCAAATTTTGACATGGGATATTAAGTATAAAAGAAAAATCCTGCGAAGAAAGAAAAACGTAGCGTACGACATTTTTAATTTAATAAAAAGGTTAAACGGAACAGACGCCAAATTCAATGTTTTAACATTTCAATTTTAGCAATGGCTGCTTTTATATAGCGATATACTTGAATAATTTAAAACAGAAAATCGCAGGTGTATTTTAACTCAATGCAGTAAAAAGTGAGTTTAATTTTGAGCAGCTTATGCCACAAGCCGATTTTACGTTATTCATTTCAATAAAAGAACAAAAAAAGAAGGAGTAAAAAATAAGATGCACAAAATCCTTGATGTACATTATCTACTCAGATTAGAAAACTGTTTTTTCCTCTCATTATAGCTGGTTGCTCTAAAATTCATTTTTTGTCGTATACAAACCCAAAAACATTCTATTTTCATCTGTTTGATAGCACCATTTATTGATTCCCAGCAATTCAAATTTGTACCATTTTTATTCCAACAAATTTCAAAAAGCGGAGGTAAGCACTGTTAATTTTCAATATACTTTTATTTAGTTGAGCATCTGAATAAACAAAATTTCTCCAACACTCGTTTTTTATTCGGTTTGATGTTTTAATCATATTTACCTTTTCTATAGAAAAGAGCGATTTATGGTTTTTATTTTAGAAAATAAATCAAAACCTTAAGCCGCTTAGGTTGTACTTGTGCCAATTTTGGGCATAACATTCAATAGAAAAGCTACTCAAATGATTGAATTTTTTAGACTAATCCTTGCACCAAAAGAAAACAAAGTCAGATTTTAAAGACTTGACCTGCGCACGCTGTTTCAATTGATACAAAAACAAAACATCTAAAATGTCAAATATTTTTATGGTTATGACTAATAAATTTTCGTTATGTTAACTGGTTTACTCGAAGCGGGTAACATAATAGGTTCCTTATTTTCTATTTCCACAAACACTGAAAACGATTCATCTGACAACGAAACCCCTCAAATAAACCCTGAAAATTCTCCCGAAAAATCAAAAAATTCAAAGCCGCTGAGATTATTCCAAAAATCAGCATCGGTAGAAAATATTTCAACCGATTCGGGAATTTCAACGTTATCTTCAAATTCTATATTAATTTCGAAATATAATTTCCCAAGTTCTCATTTGGTGGTTCAATCTGAACCTTGTTTAGCTTATTTGGACGCAGCAGGGTCGATTACAACTCAGGGAAATTTGTTTCCGAGTAAATCAGAGCTATTAGCTAGCTCCTTGGATTTGTATGCAGTCAGTTCTAGTCAGGAATCTGGGGTCAGTTTTTATACAGTTCAAAAATCTTGTTACAATTGGGTAGCTAAAAGTTTTGAGGTGAAAAGATGATAGGAAAAATAACCCGTGGCTATTAATCAACAAGGAACTTTTTTGTTTTAGATGAGCTTCCCCAATCGTACTACCACTTACGACGAAGCTATCAACGACCTCAAACGGAAACTACAACAACAGGAGTACAACCTGACAACTTCATCTTCCCAATCGCTAAACCACAATTACACTAGTGGTTCGCTGAGACAATCAAGCTCAACTATTAGTGAAATAGGCGTAGAACCTTCTCAAATATCACCTGAAGCGCCTACAAAATTCCCATCCATTGCAAACAAACTTGCAGCTGAAATTAATACAAAACAACCTGAAAAACCATCGTTACCAAACGGGGATATACAGCAACCACCGTCGCAGCAAACTGTTACGTTTAAAATTAGCCCGGTTAAAATCAAAAACGAAATCAAAGAGTCTGTTAAAATGCCGATTTTGTCAACCTTCCAAGACAACTTAAATTCGAATTCACGAGAAAACGACACCGAGGATGAAACCGAATCGGAAAGTCAAGACGAATCAAGCCAAATTTACCGAAATGTAGTCAACGACGTTCGAAAAAGTGCCGGTAATTCGCAATCGGACGCTGATGTTTTGAAACTGATGCTGAAAGAACGTGACGAACTTCTGAAAGATTACGCAATAAAGTTGAACGAATCCGAAATGGAATCTCGATCTAGTGCTAAGAAAACAAGGGCTCTTGAGTTGGAAAAGCAAAGAATGGAAAAACAATTGAAAGAGTTCCAGAAAATTTTGGACGAGGAAACCAAAAAACGAGAGAACTTAGAGGGCAAATTGTCAGATATGCAGTACACGATGAAAGACCTAGGTAAATAAATATCTAAATGCGCAGTTTGATTTTACGCAAATGCTTAAAGTCGCCAAAAAATTGTCGCGAATTACAACTTTGAAAAAAAGACAAACTAATATTGAATGCATTTTTAATCAATAAAAACTAGAACGCAAATTTACTAAAAAAACTAGACATGAAATCAGATGTCATCAATTTGAAAAATGTGTAATACGGTTGACCAAAAAATAATGAAAAAAAACGTATCGTCCAAAATAATTAAACAAAACACTATTTCAGAAACCAAAGCTTCAATTCACCTGAACTGCGACCCCGAAAAAGACTTCCTTCAAAGCAGTTTAAACGAAGTCACAGAAGAGAACGAAAATCTACGCACATCATTGCAGTCGAAATGCGAACTAATCCAAACTTTGAACAACCAATTTGACAACCGGGAAGAAATGTTGGCAGAAACACACGAACAACTGAAGCACCGAACCGAAAATCTACAAAGAGAACTGATCGAAAGTCAGACAAATGTGGACTTAAAAGATGCCGAATTGAACGAAAGTCGCAACGAAATTAAAGAGTTGAAAAACGAGATATATGAATTGATGGTGAAAGTTCATGAGAAAGAAAAACTAATGGGCGCTGTTAATGAGGAGTATTCGACAATTCAAGGTTAGAAGCTGGGGTTTAAAATTTTCATTGACTGACAATTTTCAGCTGATATATGGCATTGAGAATTTCGAAAAATTGTCTTATTTAACAACTAAACTACCTTCTTTGCAAAAAAATCATGGGAAGAAATCAAGTCAAACCGCGAAAAACCAAACTTGAGCCGAAAAAAAACCAAAAAAAACGTCAAAACTCAAAAAATGTTTACACTATAAAATAAGTAAATATGTCTTGAAAGTAAAAAGTTAGCCGACTACCAGATTCAAATCGCCAAATTTCCTAGCTGCTTTCCAAGGCTAACGAATTATCTCATAGTGATAGTAATAACCAGATGCCCTGATAATGCGGATAAAACACCTGCATTCAAATTGCTCGGCAATGATATTAAGCATTAAAGTTTAGCTCAAATTTGTGCCAGTAATGTTGCAAAAAGTGTATTCTTATTATCAAGCGTTTGCTTGTGTAATACAGCAAAAGATGAATGATTTTAGATGACAACAATATGCTAGAAGAAAAACTAGGCAATTTGGAGGCCGAAATTCAAAATCGAGACAACGAAGTAACCCAACTGAAGCAATCTCTCAAGGAAAAAATTGACCAAATCAAAGAGCAGGAATTTACTATTGGTAAGTAGCAAGGTCGTAGTCTTTTCAATTAGCAACTTCGATTTGAACTTTGCATTTTTGAATTAGCAACTTTACTTTCATTTTCAAACATACAAGTAACAAAAATAACCAACCAAACTGAATAAAAAGAGCTAATTATGATAAAAAAACACCAATAAATTAAACAAAAAAAACATTGAGAAGTTTCTTTTTCTACAATAAAACGCATGATGATGATTTGATAGGCAAACTTCAAGACTCAGAAGTTGAGAAGAAAGTGAGGCAGAAAATGAGGGAGAGATTTGACAGTGAACAGCGGGAGATGCAGGAGTCGTTTAAGAAGAAGCTGAAGCGAGAGGTGGACGCGGCCAAGAATGTGATCACGAAGGACTTGAGACACAAACACTTGAAGGTGAGTGAGAATAGTTGGTACATATGGTATTGCACAAGTTTGACGTTTGATCTTATCGCAACCATTGCAACTCGCAACAAAAAAACTCGCAACATTTAAGAAAAGAGACAAATCGCAAAGTTTCACTATTTGTTTACAACACAGCATTGGTAAAAAAGAACGCTTGCCCCGCTTCGCTCTACTGCCCTTACATTCCGCTCGAGTGGAATGATATGATGTGCGTGAATCAGTGCTTGTCACGTGGTTAGGAAATTAGACGACAAGCACTATAGACGATCAGAAAAAAGGAATTTAGACAATATCTAAATTTACTGACTTGAATTAACTTTTGGTTGAGTACATACTGGCTGTCCAACCACAAATCAAGTTGACAAATCAAGTTAATAATACACATAAGCATAATTAATGTATTTCAAAAATGTAATTTAGTTTTTCGATTTAATGTTTTATAATCAACTTACGATACTAACTTTGATCAGTTTTGTGTCAATAACTCTTGTTTTTGTATAACTTCATTCCAAACAAAAAATATTTTTAGCCCAGTTCTTAATCAAATTCACAAACAATCATCGTCTAAATTCCGTTTTATTACGGTCGTCTAATTTGCTTGTCGTCTAATTTCCTAGGCCCAGTTTATCGCTTATATAGACTGCAGTTAATAAGGGTTGACCAATTATTCATTAATTGTTGCGAGTTGTCGCAACCATTGCAACGGACCACGAGTTAAAATAAGTTCAACGTGTATTTACACAATATTCACTTTACTTTTACCCCGAGAGGACAGCAAACGGTCCCGGAAGGATCTCAAAATGCTGCTCCGAGTTAGCATAACAGTATATTTTAATATCGCTATGGTTAACAATTAACCAAATCAAAACCAAAAACAATAAAAAAACGAAAATTAGGATTACAAAAAATCCTTGCAATTGAACATTACTTACAATTGGCGAATTACTGAAACAATCTCAATCAAGTTAGTGCAAGTGGGAACCAAAGCGGATGGAGATTATGCAGTTAAGGCCAACCAATTTGCTTTTGATCAGGTTAAATCTATTTTTTTAATTTCGGGTTCGAAACTTGCTGGTCATATGCACCTTAATCCGGTTTTTATACATTTCTTAGTTATTCACTTTTATATTGCTGCTTCTTCGGATTGCAAGATTTACCCAGACAAAAAAGGAAAAAACAAAATCAGCAATAGCTTGGAATACATTAGAAAAAACGGCATGAGAGATTAGATCCCACGCCTCAGACACAAAATCTATTCCGCAAAAGTCACTCGACCTAACATTTATGCCGTTAGCTTTTAACCTAAATTGCGAAAACTATTTTTTATTCAGCTCAGTTTAAGAAGTATGTTCAAATTTCACATCAAAAATTTATTCTCAGCAAAAAAAAAGCTAAATATTCTATCAACCCATTTTTGTGTCGCGATTTTCAAAATACAATTAATTGATTTTGCCTTTCTAAAAAAAAGAGAAATATTTCAGGATCTGGAGAACTTACGAGATGATCTGGAAAGTACACACAAGACAGAATTAGACTTACTTCGCAAAGAGATGGACGAGAAATACACAAATGAGATGCACAGTAAACTGAAGGAAAAAGAGAGTGACTTCAAACGGACCATGGAGACATACCAGACTATTATACACAAACTGGAGTCGAAGGTTCGAGTCAATTTACTTTTTTTGGTAAAGCATCAAGAGGCATAACCAGGAGATTTATTAATAACTATAAAACTTCAAGCTTTGAACACTAGCACCACTGCCACTGCGTCACATTTCAATTCCTCTTTATCTTTCTTCTCATAAAAGGAGAGGAGAAAAACTAATCATTACATGTAAAGAAACACAGTTTTTTCAAACTAGTAAATGTCAGTTTTAGCTCAATTGACTTTATTTAGGATAAAATGATCTTCATCTAAAAAAAAAACAATTTTACGAAATCAGTATTGGAATTTCAGGTGAACGAGTGCAACAAAGTTTCGACCAATCAGAACGAGACATTGCAAGAGGTCGAGGAGATGCTCAACTCACTCATTAAGGTATGAAAACAAAAAGTTTGCCATTTCAATTGTAAAGTATAAATTAGACCTGAATTATATTCAACCGCATATCTAATATATATGAAACCCTTTTTGAGAAACTTCACTATTAGCAAAACGAATTTATCATTTCAGTACACAGCAGGCACTTCACAGACAATCTACCTAGACGTGACGGCCCTCAACACTTGCGAAATAAAAGAGGCATTCCAGAAACTGACAACGAAGATATTCGAACTCATTGACGAGATCGCCTATCTGAACAGACAGTCGGATCACGCACGGTAACTTAAATCACAGTGCAACAAAATATTTGGGCGGGATATGATGTGAAATACTTTTCACTTGATAATAAAGAGAAACAAGACTGCTCGTATCAGGGCGAAGCCCTGAATGTTCCGACTGCCTTTTAAAGTTTATGGAACAGTAATAACATTAAAAAATTAAATGTAATAAAAGAAAATGATTTTTTTTTCTAAAATTTAAATTTTTTTCTGAAAATCATCCCTCCACACGCCATATAAAGTGTAAAACGATAAGTTTCGCTCCTAGTAACAAATCAATTATTGCAAATAAGCTTCTTTCAACCAATTTGGAACGATTTCTATGATGGATTAACTCTCCGCTTACGCGTTAATAGCGCGAAATATATCGCGCGTTAATTGTCCCAAATTGGCCAAAATGGCAATCTTTAAACCCCCGTAACTTTACAAAAAATGATCACAGGTAAAATTTCTTTTCAAATTTGAGCTCAGTACAACAATACCTTTTGAATGATGTAAAAAAATTCAGTCAAAAATGGCTAGTTAAAAAGTCAAAATTTGTCTGAAGAAAAAAGAAACCCACCCCGAGCACAAATATTCCGTTACTTTCGTATCGAAAGTCGGAACAAAAAGTCCCGATCTGTTGAACTAACCCCTTAAAAAGGGGAAATAGCGATTCAATTACAAATTACGCAAGCAACAGATATTTAAGAAAATGTCAAGTAGCTGAAAAAAACAAAAAATGATATTTTTCAATTAACGAAATTCTAAGAACACAGCGTTAAAATAACAAAGACCACGAGAAAAATTCGACAACACTTAATTTAGGAAAAAAATTAATAATAATCAAATTGTTTGTTTCATAAAACTTTCGAAGCTTACAGAAATATCATCAGCTCACTTAAGATAAAAAATAACAGAGTTCTAAAAAAGGAAGTCGAAAAATTGGTCGAAAAGTATCGCCTTTGAAATTTGTCTAATTATTCTTGTATTTTTTTCTTACAAATTAAACTGGACTAAATTAGTAACTATTTAATTTATTGTTTTGCTGCTAGGGAAGTGAGGCAGGAGTTGGAGGGAAAGCTGGAGAGCTATCAGAGGGATTTCGTGCCTGCATATATGTATAAGCAGATATACAATGAATACGTCAAGGTAACCACAAAAATATTTCCTTTTTCAATAAAAATTAGAAATTACAAGGAGGCAGACATTAAAACTTAGATGTTTTGCACCGACCAGCTCCTCCTAAAGGAGGTGCAAAAGCGTTATGGGCTACAGTACCTTTTTTCTTCCGGATTTTGTCCAACTCAAAGAAAGCTCACAGGGGGTCAAATGAGGTAGCATAATAAAGCTCTATTGGTCGTGTTTCCGAATTTTTTGTATAGACGTTTTTTTATAGGATTCCTAATACCTGTTCTCTCGATTGAACTATTAATCTCTAATTTTGGAAGATACTTTCTAAAAAGTCACAAAAACGGTCAAAAATGATATATTTTGAGACCATACCTTTTTTCTACAAAAATTAGGGCGTCGGCGGTTATGCAGCGAAAATACCCACAACCCGTTTTCTCGATTAAACCTCAGATCTCAGTTTTGGCAGGGCATTTTCTGAGAAAAAATACAAAATCATGGGTTAAACAGTCCCCGGAGAACTTTTCGAAGGCTGTAATAAGCAGGGTTGGCGAATTGTATGTTATTTTCGAAAATAACAAACTAACAGTTAACTACTGAAAAAAAACATCTCATTTATAATAAATAATTCAACACATTAAGAAGCATTAAGATCTTGAAGAAAAATGCCAGTTTTCCAGCTTTCTCGACGCCAAGTTGGGCTCTGGGCTTCTCATACGTGAATACATCACGTCGAAGAAATCCGAAAGTAAATCAAAAATCCTGAACTGAAGAAAATCAGCATAAAAATTCATATCATCCAACAGGATAACTATTCTAATGGCTGAACTGCTTGTTTGCCTGTTACATTTTTGGTGAGCTTAAACCATTGAGATGGCTGGTCTACAATCAGCTTCAATACAACATTTCTCAAATCAACATACAGAAAAATTAGATTTTTTACATCAGCGGTTGCAGCCAGTCACAATTCAATCTTTACAGAAACTCATTATCGAAGCTGGAAAAGCAACAATACGTCATTCAAACTTATGTTGGACTTGGTTAATTTGGGGGATGTGATTTATTTCATCAAAAAATAATTTTTTTACCCATTTTCTAGATCAAAAATCCTATATACTCTTCTATATCTATTTTATTTGTATTTCAGAGCATGAAGAAACGTGATAACAACTCTGACTCTCTTGCCATTGGGCCTCCAATATCTTCCAACAAAGTGCAAGACGCCAACTTACTTGACGTCTTACGGGGCGAAAATCTTCAACTACTTGAGGAAAAACTAACCAATGAGCAGAGGATGAACAAACTGGAGCTGGAGTTGACTTTGATGAAAGAACACCAGACCAAAACTGAAGATTATGAATCTATTCAGAATGAACTGATGGAGATGAAAGGCGACAATAAGGCCATGGGCGAAATGATAACAAGTTAGTAATCTTACTTAAGTTAACACCTTGGAAATAAAAAGAAACCTTGGAAATAAAAGAAATAGTAGAAAAAAATAAAACTTAACTCACTTTCACGCAAGTATCACAGCGTAAATTGCAGATTCGGCATTCTCGATTTTATTGCAATAAAAAAACTATAATAGATAAGCCATAAACCCAAAAAAAAACGCTAAAAACTTCTAGTGTAGTGATCTATTTTTTTTAGGTTTGAAAGAAGAAAACCTATTTCTGATCGAACAGCTGGAATTGCTTACCGACGAAAAAGCGAAACTTGAGGACAATTTTCAAGCGCAGCAAAACGAATTTAACAAAAACTTGGAAAAGAAAAGCAACGAGCTTCAAGAACAAATGAACTCTTTGATCGATAAAAATCAAGATCTTTCTGATAAACTAGCCGATAGCGTCGACACTGAAACCGTTGTGCAATTACAAGAAGCGACTAAGGAATTGCTGAAACAAAACAGCGAACTTAACGTTGAAAATGAAGTATTACTCGATGAAATAAGCTCAGTAAATGCTGAAAAAGAAAATCTCGAAAACCAACTGGAGCTTGTCAGCCAGTCGAACAGTGAAAACGAAACGATGTCCATTTCTAGCCATGCGTCAAGTTCCAAAACAGTGCCAAAACGAGTTCAATTCAACTTGAATCAATCGTCACAGCAGTTGAGAAAAAGTCACAAAGCGATTAAAGACAAGTCTGGAAACAGCCAAGAAGAGGCAAGAGAGATAGTTTTGTATCGACCTCCGGCTAGAGATATAATTGAGAGACAGCTGGCTCAAGAAAACACGCATTTATTTGCAGTGAACACGAAATTATTCACTGAACGAGAAAAACTGAAAGAAGAATTGTTTCAGAAAAACATGGAGTTGAATGACGAACGAACCGAAACTGAAAAAGATAAGCAAGAGCTGAAGCAGAAATTGAACAACCAACGACTTGCACTGCAGCGCCTAAGGTATGTGCCAAAATGGAAGACGTACCATTGCGCAAAAGGCAACTATAGTAAAAAGTTAACGAATAAGTCATTTTTAATGTTATTTTTTTAAATAGAAACTAGCGTTTATCGCACCTCCGGTGCTTCGAAATTTTTCGACAACCCCTGAAAAACCGCATATATTGGAAACAACATCTGCAAACTTTTAGTGTACTCTGACTGCACCCAATTACAGGGTTGGTAATTTCGAACTTTTTAATTTTTTTAATTCCCATTTTAAAAGCGTCATCTCGAAAACTTAGGTTTCCCAGGTTTTAAACCTAAGATTTGAGCATTCATATCAAGAGGTAAGATTTGAGATACCAGGGTGTACACTTACAATAAGATTGTATCTTCATCGACTTGGTAGTTTCAAATTTTTTTGAATTTCTTTGTACATAATTTCTTAGGGAAATTTTGAAAAAATCACAAAAAACGTCACATCTCGATAACGTCACATCTATATTTGGAGGCAAGATTCGCAATCCTTGCGAGTACTCTGACAGGGCCTAACCACAGGGTTGGGAATTTCAGATTTTTGAAAAATAACAATTTAAATTTTCTGAAAATTTTTTTAAAAAAATCACAAAAAACGTCATATCTTGGAAACTACGAAAAATTGAGCAGTCATACTTGGAGGCAAGATTCGCAATCTTTGAGAGTACTCTGACAGGACATAACTACAGGGTTGGAAATTTCAGATTTTCAAAAAATAATAACATTTTAGGTTTTCTGAAAACTTAAAAAAAAAAAAAAAAATACGTCATATCTCGAAAACTTCAAGGATTTGAACAGTCATATTTTGAGGCAAGATTTTTAATTCCTTAAAGTACTCTGACAGCACCCAACTACAAGGTTGAGAATTTCAAACTTTGAAAAATAATGAATTAAAATTTTCTGAAATTTTTGAAAAAATCACAAAAAACGTCATATCTCGAAAACTACAAAGATTTGAGCAGTCATATTTGGAGGCAAGACTCGCAATCCTTGATAGTACTCTGACAGTACCCAACTACAGGGTTGGGAACTTCAAATTTTGTAAATTATTTTATTTGAAATTTCTGAAAAAATCTCAAAAATCGTCTTATCTCGTTAACTAAAATGATTCGGGCATTCAAAATTGGAGGCCAAATTCGCAGCCCCTAATTCGATATTGGGCTGCTTAATTCAAACTCGGTAAAATAACATCTTAAATCAAATCGGAAAATCGAAAAAAAATTGTTAAACATTGCAATATACGATATAGCTTAAACATGCAAAAATAATACGTTGAAAAAGCTTAAACATGGCGAGATAGTGAAACCCGCATTTAAATATATAATAGATTCTGACTTTTAACTGCGTCACTGATTGACATTTCACAGTAATTTGATTATTCGTGCAATCAGCAAAGGTACTGCAATAGTGTACTAGTCTTTTTTCATGTAAATAACTTTGTTCGGAGTATCTCCAATTTTAAGCTTTCCAGTTCTAGCCAAGTTGAACCTTTAGCAGCTGTACTTCTAGGTCTAGAGCTACTGAAGCGATACAGGGTCTATAGCTAAAAATATTTTTAGATATAAATTGATTTTTATGCCGGCTTTAATTGATTGCGTGTCAATTTTTGTCGGCTTACTTACAGGGTGACTTAGTTCAAAAACGTTTTTTCATAGTTTTTTTGAAGTACTTTTTCCCCTCATTTGCAAGATGGTGCATATAATTGATGAGTTTCCAATTTTACGCCAAAAACTCTGTTAGCAGAAAAAAAAACTTTTTAAAGAAACTTTCTGTTAGAAAACTTTCCTGCATTGATTTTTCAGTTTTTTCGAATGCATTGATTCTCATTTTTTTCTGGAAGTGCGTGGAATTAGTTTACATTAGTGTTGCGTGTTTTCATTGCAAGTAATTTCGCTTGAAATCGATTCGAGGTGATGGAACAGTGTATTGTTTTATTAAGTCAAAATAATTTTGCCATTTTGCTCTGGCTGTTTTGTCTACGAATGTATGTGGCGAGTGTCGCACGAGATTCAAGATTGTTGTTCTTTGGCTGAAACTTTTTGAAAAATTGGAGCTTTAGTTTTTTTTATTCAATAACGGGCATTTTTTTTATCGTAGTCCATTTTTGTAATGATCCAGCTTTGAGCTCTCATGAGTTTTGTTATAACTTTCTGTAAATCCTTTTTGTGGCAGTTATTTGAAATTTTAGTATTCAAGTGTTTTTGAAATTTTATTTTTCAATTTTGTTCTATCGTGTTGATCTTAGTTTATAGCAAGCAATTCATAGAGCTTTTCCGCGCCCTGACCGGTAGTTTGTTTATTTGCAAAATTTTTGATTCTTTTAAGAATAAATGGATCTCGATACTTCGACCGAACGTTTTTTCTTTTCTTTTCCATTTATTAGATATGAAACAGAAATGAATGGCGTTTGTGTAGCCCTTATCCTTTTTATGTTGCAAAAAAATTTTCTTTATTCTTTTGCCTACGATTTTAACAGTTCATTTAAATTTAGACCCCATTGCTAATATGCAAGTTTATGGAATTAATTGGATGTATTAAACTTTTTTCAGCTCCCGGGTCCGTATCTACAGTTACCAAGCATCCAGTCCGACTGAACTTGAGCTTAAAATCAAGCGCGAATTGATGTCATTGGAACACCAAATAAGCGATCTATTACAAAACTACCAAAAAGAATGCAAAAAGAGTGAGAGCGAGCCCAAATATGATCGTTATTTCGTTTATGAAATATCCGAAACACAACCAGACAATGAGTCCGAAAACTCTAGCACCGAAGAAGACTCGGAAAACGAAGATATTCCGACATCTGATAAATCGATTGTTCAGATACGCCAGCGAAATAGCAAGGATGATTTCAGTGATCTTGACGCAAAGCTGCGAGATACTCAAAAATCTATCGCAGAAAAAAGTAAAGAAATAGAGGCTATTCGTCGCTCCAAATTTGATCAGAAAGAAGTATCCGCAGTCGAAAAATATCGAGACCGAGAAACAAAGCATATCATTATCCGGGAAAGGGCGTCAAAGGACAAAGAAATACCCCCACATAGAAATGTCACCACGACAATGCAAACACTGAATGTAGTTACTGTAACAGAAGAGCATTTTGCAACAAATAGCAGCCCTATGTATTACTCACAGAGTCCAGGAAGCAAGCATAGTCGAAGTAGCTGGCGGATGGACTTAGTCGATAGCCGCACATAAATATGAAATGTTCATGCCAATCAAATAGTAATATTTAAAATATCCAGACAATTGTATATCTAAAATGTAAATACTTTTTATGGAATTAAACTACAATTTAATAGAGTTTTCTTCATTTCCACAAACTTTTCATTCAAAGTATTCATGAATTGATTAGATTTTATTACACCATGCAAAGCACGAATTACATTTGATCAAGTCAAACGAAAAGTAGCACAACAAGCACATACAAGATAGAACGTCTTTTTCTACACCACCGATCCATCAAAGTTATTTAACATCACCGAAAGAGCAATAGATAGAGCTCTGAGAAAACTGTATGAGCGAGATGAACCACCATCAATTGCTAGGAAAACCATGAAGAGACTGGTTTATAAAGTCAAGAGTGGTTTATAAACTGTCATGTAGTGGATGCACTTCCACCTATGTCGGACAAACTGTTCGACATTTGACCACTAGAATTGAGGAACATAAGAAAGCAGACTCACAGGCCGAAAGAAAGCAGGCCGAAAGAAAGACCTACCTCGGCGAACAACCGGACTTAAAACTGCTGCAGACGGCGCCCGAGAACGCGCTGAAGTTCGTTCAGAAGACTGGGCTTTTCTAGCCCCCTATTTCAAGATAGAAGGCCGTCACACACAACACAACAAGCAGACTCACCGGTAGGCCTCCACCTTCAGCAATGCCAACTTGAGGGAAATAGCGCAGATCTTAGTTGGGAAATTATAGATAGGTCAAACAACCAAACAAAATTGCTAACACTAGAGGCAATACATATCAGGAAAGAGAAACCGGGCTTGAACACGCGCGATGAGTTTAGGAGCAGGGAGTTAACACTGAAAATTTAGTCCCAAAATATTTTTGGTTTTGTAACATTCGTCTACTGTAGTCACACATGAGGCTTAAGAAAACTAGGCCCTATAACCATTGGCTCAAGAGTCAGGGACACTATCTCTTGTGTTTTTCTACCTCAAATCAGTCGGAGCCAATTCGGTTCGTTTGTGACATGAGACTACGACCCGTTACAGCTTAAAGGCTACTACTAAATTATCCCCCCACTCTAGAATTAGGAACGTCCCCATACTTAGGTCTCTAGATGTGCCATTCTGCCAGATGACACAGCATAACCTTCCCGCGACAGAAAAAAAAGTGACTAAAGGCCTTATGAACAGAAAAGTGTTGCGACGGAGGGTCAGAATGTTCTAGAATTTTTATTTTTAAAATTTCGATCGGAAGAAGAACATTTCTGAGAAATAGAAAAAAGACGGCCATTTTGAATAAAAAAGACGAAAATCAGAACCACGATATAGATTGTGAAGAACAGTTGTATCAGAGACAGAAAAATTACGGAGCCTCTTATCGTGGCAAGAACACACGATAAGGACCTTAGCGACAGATATTTGTGGAGACGGAGGCTTCAGTGGGGGGAAGAGAAATACCACGGAACCCTCCCGGGACACGAAATATAGGAGATAAGAGTGTTATCTCAAGAAAATCACGGGAGCGGAGGCTTGGTCCCCCAGAGACTATTATATGTGAAGGGACTGGGTAAAATAACTATAACAGCTGCTGTAATGTCCTAGATCTTAATTAACACCGTTATTATTTAATATTTCAGAGCATGAGTAGATAGAAAAAGGAAAGGGTCAATCCATCTCCAATGGATTTAATATAAAACTGTCACACAAAAACATATAAAAATAGGTTGTTCGAGCCGTGTTTTTAATGACAATCACGTAGTCTGAGGATCCGAGACTCAGCTATGTGGTTGTGTTCGCATGCAAACGAAAGCTGATCAAAAGTCGTTTGACTGATGGCCTAAAAATGGTAACTTTTTACTTTGCCCTAAACAGACCAGAAAATCAACTGGCAAGGTCGAGACGGTGAAAAACGAGTAGAATTAAAGTAACTGACGCCTGCCAGTCGTTGATAGGTACTTTTTCTACGCTCCGTCGCTGTGTGATATTTGGGCGAATGTTACATAGACGTTTTTATGGCGCTCCTGGGTGGGCCTGTTAAAGGCATGAAACCATCATGATCAGCAAGCGTTTCAGCGACGTACCCTCCGCTCCGGGCGTAAGCCCGAGTTAGAGGCCTTAATGACCGTTGTTGTACTAGGGGGAAGGTGCGTACCCTCCGTCTAGTGCAATTTAGCTTTTTAACTTAGTTAACACCGAAAATTCCGGGGGCCGGAGGGTTAGGTGGGAAATCTAGAGCCCGCTTGTCCTGAGGTCCCAGGACCAAAAACAATTAAAGAGAAAGCGTAAAACCAAACAAAAATAGTGTATAACCAAGAAAAAGCCAAAAATAAATTTATTTAAAAACAAAAAAGTACAAAAAACAGTAAAAAAATCCAAAAAAGACCAAAAACAGTAAAAAAACATAAAGTGACAGTTTATATGTTATTTCCGGACGAGATGTGATCTGACCTTCCTATTTGTTGTTGTTTCAGATTGATTTATATCGTTTCTGATAGAAAGATTGTGTGTTTTGGTGAAGGGTTGGGTACCCTCCCTCGAGTGTAATTTGAGTGTTTAAGCACGTTAATGGTGATTTTGCCGGTGACCGGAGGGTAGAGTGGCAAGCTGATCAACGTGTTCCACACTCAACAGGGACATCAAGGACAACATCCACAACGACTGTTGGGTATCGTTGGAGCAATTTTAGTATCGTTCGGGTACTATTTCATAAAAACTTAAGTGGTGGGGGGCACGATTGGCGCGGTCCGATTGTACCCTCCATCGATTACAAATTTCCGAGTTAAGGGTCTTAGTTCGGATATTTTGGTGCAAAGGAGGGTATAGTACTATTCATTAACGACTATTAATAGATTATTATCCTTATTATATATTACTTATCTCCTGTTTAGACCCAAAAAACACCCATTTTTTGTCGAAAATTACCAATTTTCGACCAAATTGTAGACCCCAAATTTTCGGATATCCGAGCGTTTCCGATAGACAAAAAGCTTTTATATAGAGAGTAGCTACGTAGTTCGATCCCCTTTATTAAAGAAACCGCGTGAGCAAAGATTCAGCAGAAGTTAGAAAAACGAAAATTTTTCGACCAAAATTTTGATAATTTTCTGTATTTTGTCAGTCTGTTTTGGAGATCGAGTTTTTGAGTTTTTAGAGTTAGAGCAATAAAATTTTTTGCGTTAGGAGCGTGCTAGCATAACGTGCTCGGTTACTAGAGAAATTTTTGGGTAACCCTCCGAGTAGCTCCGTGGATAGAGCTAACGACTTAAGGTTTGGAAAAGGAAGGAATCGGAGGGTCCAAATTTGATAGTTTTTGGCCAAATTTTTGTTTCTAAACCAATTTTGGTCCGGTTTTTTGCATTATTCCAGTGCCGTACAGGGCTACTACGCTCATTTCAAGTATTTTTAGGCACTTTCGACCGGAATTGCGAAAAAAGTCTTTCAGATCCTATACAGGTGGTGAAAAAGGCCATTTTGACGAACGCGTTTTTGGCGATTTCTCAAAGACTAGTTATCCGATCGGGATAATTTTGGTACCATAAGTCGACGTTTTTGACCACTTTTCCGAATCGCAACCGTTTTTGGGTTGATTATTTCGGAAAAGAAAAATTTTTTAGAATTTGTTGGTTCGGAGGGTCCAAGTAACGGGCAACCCTCCGAGCGGCAGAAAATTTTATCAAAACATCCTTTTATTCAACTGGGAAGGTTGACCGTGTCAGCCAACCTAGTTTTAAGTCAGGTAGACCGCTTTCAGAGGCTTTACTGCGGTGACTTAACCCTTTTTCTTGATTTTGGGGGAACCCTCCGAAGTGACCCTCCGGAGTCAGCTAAACCGTTTAGCAACCCTCCTTAGTGGAAAATTTCCACGAGATCACCCTAAGAAGTTGAAACAGCACCCCCTAGAACACTTAGCTTATTTTGACGCTTTTTGAAGCTAGTAGGAGAACCTTCCAAGTGAGATCAGAAAATTTGAAAATTTTGGAGGTACCCTCCGAAGTGACCCTCCGGAGCGTATTAAGCATCTTATTGACCCTCCTTAGTAAATTTAGGGGGACCCTCCGAAGTAACTTGGGTGATTAAGATACCCTCCTAAGTAACTTGAGTGATTGAGGTACCCTCCGAGGTAACCCTCCGGAGTGTCTTAAACCTTCTAGCGACCCTCCTTGTAAGAGACTTGAGTAAACCTTCTGTGGCAATTTGGGAAACGGAAAATATCCATTTAATTAGGATCATATTAGGATATTAGGCGTGCTTATCAGGGTCATAAGAACCCATTCTGACCCGGAAATTCGTGATCAACTTTGGATTCTATATTGGGTGTATTAGAAGTACCCGAACAAGATTTTTTTTTTGATTGTGATTTTGGTTGAGTGGTTGCCTTGAGCTACTTAATAGGAAAGTTCGGGCAATCCGGGAACAAATAAAGGAAGACCTCGGTGGGTGTATTAAGCAAATACACACCCACTTGAGAAGAAGAATTGTTCCCTACTCTCGTGCACTTGGAGCAGTCCGAGTGTGGGAGAGCTTTTTCATAGATTTGACGAATTTTCGACCAAGAGGTTGCCTTGAGCTACTTAGTAGGACAGCTCGGGCAATCGCAGGACACCCAAAAGAAGACCTCGGTGGGTGTATTAGGCAAATACACACCCACTTGAGAAGACTGTGTCCTGGGCTTCGTTCTTTCGGATCGTTCCGATTGGGGGAAGTCTTTTTCTTTAAGACTAAGTTTTATTTATCTATTTCTGAATCATCACTGCTTTTTATCGAAGATTGTTTAATTTTAACAAAGCAGTGACTTGATAAATTGTGTGGCGATAAATTGATACTGACAAAAGGTCGCTGTCACCTGTAGGATATTCTTATCTGATTATCGATTGTGTTTTGTGTACCGATTATATCTCGTGGAAACTTAGTGTTACTGTTATATTATACAACCGGGTTGAGTTAGCATTATATCAATACTGGGTAGACCCTGTGTGTAACTTTAGCTGAGTCACTAATTTAGTCGTGAGAGATCTAAGAGACATTTTGATACTGACGGAATCGAATAGGCAGCGTTAAGTGATTTAACTGAATCTTGTTTGTG